GTTGGTCTATGAATGCAGGACCAAGGAGCCATTTGATGGTTAATGAAGGCACGACCAAGGGGCCATTTGTTGGTTTATGAATGCAGGACCAAGGAGCCATTTGTTAGTTTATGAAGGAATGACCAAGGAGCCATTTGTTGGTCTATGAATGCACGACCATGGAGCCATTTGATGGTTAATGAAGGCACGACCAAGGGGCCATTTGTTGGTTTATAATGGCACGACCAAGGAGCCATTTGTTGATTTATAACTGCACGACCGAGGAGCCATTTGTTGATTTATAAAGGCACGACCAAGGAGCCATTTGTTGGTTTATGAAAGCGCGCCCAAGGAGCCATTTGTTGGTGTATGAAGGCACAACCAAGGAGCCATTTGTTGGTTATGAAGGCACGACAAAGGAGCCATTTGTTGGTTTATAATGGCACGACCGAGGAGCCATTTGTTGGTTTATGAAAGCGCATCCAAGGAGCCATTTGTTGGTTTATGAAGGCATGACCATGGAGCCATGTGTTGATTATTAAGGCACGACCAAGGAGTCATTTGTTGGTTTATGAAGGAACAACCAAAGAGCCATTTGTTGGTTTATGAATGCACGACCAAGGAGCCATTTGTTGGTTTATGAAGGAACGACGAAAGAGCCATTTGTTGGTTTATGAAAGCGCGTCCAAGTAGCCATTTGTTGGTTTATGAAGGCATGACCAAGGAGCCATGTGTTGATTATAAAGGCACGAGCAAGGAGCCATTTATTGGTTTATGAATGCACGACCAAGGAGCCATTTGTTGGTTTATGAAGGAACGACCAAAGAGCCATTTGTAACTTTATGTAGGAATGACCAAGGAGCCATTTGTTGGTTTATGAAGGAACGACCAAGGAGCCATGTATTGGTTTATGAATGCACGAATTAAGGAGCCATTTGTTGGGTTTATGAAGGAAAACGACCAAAGAGCTATTTGTAATTTTATGTGGAATGACCATGAGCCATTTGTTGGTTATGAAGGCACGACCAAGGAGCCATTTGGTGGTTTATGAAGGAACGACCAAGGAGCCATTTGGTTGTTTATGAAGGCACGACCAAGGAGCCATTTGGTGGTTAATGAAGGGACGAACAAGGAGCCTTTTGTTAGTTTAGGAAGGCACGAGCAAGGAGCCATTTGTTGGTTTATGAATGCACGACCAAGGAGCCTTTTGTTAGTTTAGGAAGGCACGACCAAGGAGCCATTTGTTGGTTTATGAAGGCACGACCAAGGAGCCATTTGTTGGTTTATGAAGGAATGACCAAGAAGCCATTTGTTGGTTTATGAATGCACGACCAAGGAGCCATTTGTTAGTTTATGAAGGCACGACCAAGGAGCCATTTGTTGATTTATAAAGGCACGACCAAGGAGCTAGCTTTGTTGGTTTATGGAGGCACGACCAAGGAGCCATTTGATGGTTTATGAAGGCACGATCAAGGAGCCATTTGATGGATTATAAAGGCCTAATTCGGGCGAGCCATTTGTTGGTTTATGAAGGCGACCATGACCCATTTGTTGGTTGGGTGAAGGCAATTAATTGGCGAGCCATTTGTTGGCTTTATACTGCACGACCGAGGAGCCATTTTTGTTGGTTTATAAAGGCACGACCATGAGCCATTTGTTGGTTTAAGAAGGCACAAAAAAGGAGCCATTTGTTGGTTATGAAGGCACAACCAAGGAGCCATTTGTTGGTTTATAATGGCACGACCGAGGAGCCATTTGTTGATTTATAACGGCACGACTGAGGAGCCATTTGTTGATTTATAAAGGCACGACCAAGGAGCCATTTGTTGGTTTATGAAGGCGCGCCCAAGGAGCCATTTGTTGGTTTATGAAGGCACAACCAAGGAGCCATTTGTTGGTTATGAAGGCACGACCAAAGGAGCCATTTGTTGGTTTATGAAGGCACAACCAAGGAGCCATTTGTTGGTTATGAAGGCACGACCAAGGAGCCATTTGTTGGTTTATAATGGCACGACCGAGGAACCATTTGTTGGTTTATAATGGCGCGACCAAGGAGCCACTTGATGGTTAATGAAGGAACGACCAAGGAGCCATTTGTTAGTTTATGAAGGAACGACCAAGGAGCCATTTGTTGGTTTATGAATGCACGACCAAGGAGCCATTTGTTAGTTTATGAAGGCACGACCAAGGAGCCATTTGTTGATTTACAAGGGCACGACCAAGGAACCATTTGTTGGTTTATGAAGGCACTACCAAGGAGCCATGTGTTGGATTATGAAGGAACGAACAAAGAGCCATTTGTTGGTTTATGAAGGAATGACCAAGGAACCATTTGTTGGTTTATGAAGGCATGACCAAGATGCCATTTGTAGGGTTATGAAGGCACGACCATGGAGCCATTTGTTGGTTTATGAAGGCACGACCAAGCAGCCATTTGTTGATTTATGAAGGCACAACCAAGGAGCCATTTGTTGGGTTATGAAGGCACGACCAAGGAGCCATGTGTTGGTTTATGAAGGCACGACCAAGGAGCCATGTGTTGGTTTCTGAAGGCACGAAAAAGGAGCCATTTGTTCGTTTATAAAGGTACGACCAAGAAGCCATTTGTTGGTTTATGAATGCAAGACCGAGGAGCCATTTGTTGGTTTATGAAGGCACGACCAAGGAGCATTTTATTGTTGGTTATGAAGGGAACGACCAAGGACCCATTTGTTGGTTATGAAGGCGACGAACCCATTTGTTTGGACATCAAAGCTCGACCAAGGAGCCATTTGTTGGTTTATGAAGGCAAGAGCAAGGAGCCATTTGTTGGTTATGAAGGCACGACCAAGGAGCCATTTGACTGGATTATAATGGCACGACCGAGGAGCCACTTGTTGGTTTATAATGGCACGACCGAGGAGCCATTTGTTGATTTATAAAGGCACGACCAAGGAGCCATTTGTTGGTTTATGAAAGCGCGTCCAAGGAGCCATTTGTTGGTTTATGACAGCGCGTCCAAGGAGCCATTTGTTGGTTTATGAAGGCACGACCAAGGAGCCATTTGTTGGTTTACGAAGGAACGACCAATGAGCCATTTGTTGGCGCGTCAAGGCCATTTGTTGGTTTTATGAAGAGCT